TGTGTCCTAAGCCCCGTCCGTCGGTTTATGTGTACGTCATGATTTTTTTTTTTCAATGTCAGTGCATCTGTGGCAGATTCTGTTGCATCTAGGCCTTTCCATGTCTTACCTATTTTAGAGCGGGTTTGGACAGCTGCCACATTGTTTTCTGAAGACTCGGGCAGCATCATCGCGAGTCTTACCTTGCCGACTTTAAACTCTTCAGTTATTAACCTAAAGGGAAGTGCCAGCTTAATCCTCTTACAATACAGAGCCACATCACTCAGAAAAAGCGGTACCCCAAGCCACTTTATCTCGACTGTGTTGATTTTCCTCTCCGTTGCCTCCAAAGCACGCATGCTAACTTCGTACACGAGCAGCGCCCAGAGTAGCTTTGAAATCAACATGAACTGGAAACACCAGACCTTACACTCCCCGATCAACCTGCATGACTCGATTGCGAACAGGCCTGTAATCAGTGACTCATGTAGACACTTTCGTTCTGACAGATAACTTCGAATTGTAGACGCGGCAAAAGCTCTTCAGTGGGTCCTCAAGAACCGTGGAGATCCGATTCTTTGCCACCGTAAAACTGACTGCCACTAACCTACTTTTAAGGATTGACAAACTTCTCGATTTCTGCAGTTTAAACAGCATTCCACACTATTAGAAAACGATGCCCAACCCTTTCAGAATCGTGCGGACATCATTGTCATGGCCTGGTATGAATGTTGTGTTATCCATAAATGCACGTAATGGCGGCATCCAGATGTGCCAGTTTGAGGAAATTGCACGTAGCCAGCAGCACCGTCTTACATGACCTGCATGGCCATAACAAACAGTAAAAGAACCAGTAAAAGAACAGGCTTTACACACGTAGAATTGTTCCACAAGGTATTTCACCAGCCCACACATAAACTTGGTCTGCTGAGAATGGTGCTGTGAGGAGTGACCAGGGGAACTAGGTGAGGCTCAACGCTCGAAAGAAATTCATGATGGATATACAATCACACTGTTATTGGTCCCATCGAAATAGTAGCTCTGCGCCTGATGCTGAAGTTGGGGAGGAAGCGTTAATGGGAATGTCATGAGTTATGTGACGACAATCCTCAATGCCAAATAAAACAAAACAAAAAAGATCGTTTTTAGTTTTTTATTTGATGTTGTTGACAGAAACAAAATTACATGCGCGCACGCACGCACGCACGCACGCATGTGCACACGCACACACACACACACACACACACACACACACACACGATCACTATACCAATCAAGCGCCGTCTTTACAATAATGGGCTCGAACCCTCTGTGTAATGCCGTAAAATGGAGCTAAGGCTGCTGGGGTGACGCTGAACACATCACTCCTTTTGTGCCGATTGGTCTGTATAAGTATAGGTATAAAACTAAAGCCCAATGCATCGTGCTTATAAAAAAAAATATGTTTCTTTAATTATGTATTTAACGGGACACATCTATTGAAATATATGAGGTTATAAAATAAATTTTGTGACTTTCTCGCCATTCCCTTCCCTTTTTTCTACACCCTCAACTCCTCCCCTATTCGAAAAAAAAAAATGTGGCTCACACGAGTTGTTTCATGATATTGCCTCTCGTAAAAGTATCAAAGTCTACAACAGTCATGATAACATGATAATATTGACTTGTGAACAAAATGTCAACTCAGTCACATACTATCGTACTAGTAAATTTCTTTGTGGTAAACATACGTGTGATAAGACCATTGTACATCTGATATGAACAAGAAATGAACACCTACCGATCTTATGTGGCTATATGTTAACAACACCCTAATCAATATCCAAAGACTACATGTATAGCATGAGAACCACTTTGATGCTTGTTATATAAAATACAGTAATATTAGCTAGGTTCAGCCAGGAAGACGTAATACCCAATATTTACTTCCACGATAATAATCAGTCAACCTGCAATAAAATTTGTAGCACAAACGATTTGAATTCTCAATATTAAAAGGCTTAAAAAGAAATGTCAATGGAAGTCAATTTTCTTATTTATCAGAATACATTATAAGCATGACCCCTAAGGGGTGGCAGTGCTAAAATCAGATGACAATCATATGATATAAATGTTTCAACCGCAATCGCACATATAATTTACCCATACACCATCTTTTTTTTTTTTCAAAGTAGTTAAAAATATGCGGAGAAGAGATGAGAGCTACAACCCCACTGACATAATTAATGATAAGACAGGAAGGTCATTGATAGATTCACCCGAGATAGCAGAAAGATGGAGGGAATACTTCAATGAGCTCTTTAATCCTCTAGGAGATCATCAGGAAAAAACAGCTGAAGAACACAGAGCAACGTTGTTAGAACCATACATACTAATTGATGAAATAGAAAACGTCATTAGGCAGTCTCCCAAATATAAAGCACCAAGAGCTGATAGATTACCAACAGAAATAATTCAAACAGCAGGTGAAAGCAGCATCAGATGGCGTCACAGAATATTTAATGCAGCATGGGTACAACAAACAGCCCCTATTGATTGGCAACATGCAATAGTTATACCATTGTGGAAGAACAAAGGAAGGAAACGAGAATGCGGTCAATACCGAGGCATCTCTCTTTTAAGCCATGTTGGCAAAATGTATGCCAAGATAATATAAACAAGACTGAGACCAGTAATAGAACCACAGCTGGCAGAAGAACAGATGGGATTTAGGAGAAATAGAGGCTGCACAAATGCAATCTTCACACTTAAACAGTTAATAGTAAAGAACATTGAATACAATAAGAACTTATTTGTGGCAGTCGTAGACCAGGAAAAGGCATTTGACAGAGTCAACAGACAATTATTATGGAGTAAGCGAACACCTCATCGAAGTGTGCAACAGTTTATACAGGGATTGTAGAAGTGTAGTTAGAATAAATCAGGGAACATCTCATCCATTCACAGTAACATCTGGAGTAAGACAGGGGTGTGTCTTATCACCACTGCTGTTCATCACCTACATCGACAGTATATGCAAGAATGTCAAGCCCATGAATGAAAATGTCAGTAAGATCAACGAATTACTCTTTGAATATGACCAGGCCTTGATAGCAAATACAGTCATGAAATTGCAACAACTTCTAACATCCATGAATGAAGAATGTAAAACAAATAATATGAGAATCAACACTGAAAAGACAGAAGTAATGTTAAAAGAAAAAAAGAAGACACATCTAAACATAGCAATATAGTACAAAGGTACATTACGTACATTAAACAGGCATCTGAGTTTAAATATCTGGGAACTACATTTACTAAAGATGGGAAATTGGATACAGAAATTAACATTAGATGCAGTGAAGCAAACCAAGTATTGGGACAGCCAGCCCCCCTCTTACAGCATAAGACAATCCCAATCAGCACAAAGAAACATCTTAATCAAAGCATTTTTATTCCAACTCTGTGCTACCAGTGCCAGACAAGGTCACTCACAACAAACCATACAAGAAAATTAGTAACCATGGAAATGAGATGTCTGAGAAGGGCTATAGGAGTGACCATAAGAGATCAGGAATGAGATAATAATAGAAAAAGTCGGCACCAAACCAATTCTAAATTACATACAAAGACAGCAAGTGAAATGGTTTGCCCACTTAGAGAGAATGCCTTGTGACACCATACCATACAAAGCATACATGGAAAAAAGAGGTAGACCAAAGCACGATCGAGAGATAACATCAGAGAAACTCTACAACAACACGATGTGACTATGGTCGAGGCGGCCAGAAGAGCTAGAAACAGAACATTATATCTCCCTCGTCACCCACAGCGGTAAAAGAGGAAGTGATGAAGAAGAAGATACACCATCTTGGAGCAGTGACTTTGAACTGTAGTTGTATCTATTCTACAGTATACAAAAGGTATATTTTGTATTGTAAGTATTGGATAATATGATTGTTCATCATTGTCATGCCTCGTCAAACAGCATCATGTAAAAGTAATCTATTCTCTTTCCTCCGAATAACGATCCTAAATTATCGAGGTCGAAATATAGACCTTAACAGGGCGTCAGTCACCTGTCAATTGCAGACTTCAGGGGACTATAACGCCACCGCCGGTATCTCAAACGCCACTACGCGCGGCGTGGATTCAGGCTAAACTAGATCTTAACAGGACGTCAGTCACATGTCAATTGCAGACTTCAGGGGACTATAACGCCACCGCCGTTTATCTCAAACGCCGCTACGTGTGGCGTGGATTCAGGCAAAACTAGATAGGTGGGATTCACGAGCAAATAATATGAAAGAAGCTGCAGGAGACGCTGCAGTTGCTGCTTGTGAGACCCAGTCATCCAATTTAGCCCAAATCCATGCAGTGCGTAGCGGCGTGGAAGTTACTCTCGGCGCTGGCGGAAGTCGCTAGAAGTGCGCAATTCAAGTCGCCGAAAGTACGCAATTGACATGATACTGAGGCCCTGTTAGGGTATATTTTCGGCCTCTATAATTTGGGACCCTTTTTCGGAGGATAGCAAATGTAAGTGTCTCTTACAGTATTTGTTTTGCTGTAACAGTGTATGTTGTTCCTAACTTGCACATTTCCTATCGACGGTAGTAGCCAAGCAGTTTTAAACTGCCAGGCTCACGAACTTCTTCGTTGTGTTTTTTTCATCACTAAAAAGTTCAACTATATGCATATAGATAGTTGTCAGTGCTATATTGCACATATTTTTCATTCACTATATATGTGATGTCGGCTCTGTGGCTAAGTTGATGCGGACGCTTCGTAATGCCGGGATGCCGGGTTCGATCCCATCTGCGGGTCATGCGCCTTGCGTTGGTTTTGACATTGGTATCAAGAAAACCGACCGTCTAGAAAGCAATGGCAAACTACTGGATGTAAATTTGCCTAGACAAACCACACAACAGCCAGGGCCTGTTTGGGTTGGTTCTGCAACGTCCCGTAAAGGATACACAACTAACCTTCATTTATGTAATTTCGTAATTTATTATAGACATTTTACAATTCCACCAACATTACAGATGGTGTCAATAATCTTCCTTCTCGCGCTGATGGCTGAAGTCATCGCATCTCCAACGAGGGATTCTGCAGATGTTCGCGGAGAAGATGGTGGCTCTCCTGAAGTAGGACGGATTGGCCTGTTTAATCCAGACCAAGGCGGGGGCGTGTTGACCAAAAATCCGGGTACTGATGGTTGTTGTTCTAGAAGAATTCGGAGTTTTTTTGGCAAGCTAAAACAAAAACTGGTCTCAGCAGCGCGGAAACT